ACGTGGGAACCAATCTTTTTGAGGACTTTTTGTGAATCCAGGTCTTTTCAATTAGGCGACAGTTCAACTACGACATTTCAACTGCTCAGAATCTGCGCGGAATCGCTCAATGCATCTTGATATAAAATGGAAAACAGCCTTTGAAAAAATGCATGGAAAATCGGTAAAAAAGAAAACAACTATTAATACTAAATTATTTATCTCTTGTAATTGTTAATATAAAAACAAATTAAATCTTTGTATGATTTCAATCATAAATGTTTTAGTTCAGAGATTAAATTCAGTTGGGCTACATTGTCTGTTAAAAAGCAAAGAATAGAAAAAATATTATCGAATCAACTATTAATACTAAATTATGGATCTCTTACAATTGTTGATAGAAATACAAATTGAATCTTTGTATGATATTAATCATTAATGTATTAGTTCAGTGGGTGAATTGAGTTGCATTACGTTGTCTGTTGAACAGCAGAGAATAAAAAAAATGAAAATTAAAAAAATTTCGACTGATTCTGAAGAATATAGTAATTTCACAAAAACTAGTTGATATGTTGCAGTTGAAAATTTGAGTTGAAATGTCGCCTAGTTGAAAAGACCCTTTTTATTTTTTCCGGTGTGGGTGTCTCTCGAGCGATCGGAGATGATAAATTTTGGGGCGATGGGGTTTGAGGTTGAGTTATTACTCTGGAGGACACGTTGCCTAACGGAACTGTATAATAACTTCGCTTCAACGATCAATTACGGATAAGCGCGTGAATGAAATTTTTAGGGGATTTATTTGACGTCTGAATAGTCGGGGGTATTTCACTTGGAATTAATGCATTGTGACATACGGTAGGAGTGAATGTTTTTCCAGTTATTCAGTTAATTGAGGGGGGGAGGACGTGAGGGTCAGTGTGGGGAAAGTCACGGACGAGTGACAAAGAAATTTTTGGCGACAACTTTTTATTTTTACCACCGGGATATGTATCACGCGTGCAATCAGAGGTCGTGAATTCTTCAGAGATGAAGTTTTTGGAGTTGGAGAAATGATCTCTCTAGAGAACACATTACTCAACACGACAGTATAATTATATTTACTCAATTAATTAATTGCTGATAACAGCATTAATGGATTTTTTATTCCATTTCGACCGAAGAAGATTCAAGCAAACGTCATCATTCCTAACTGTCTGAACAGTCTTGAATATTCCACTTGGACTGAACGCATTGTAACATTTACAACAGTGGCATGTGTCTTTCATTCATTGAATAAAACGAGGGAAAGTCACGGGTGAGTGACAAAGAATTTTTCGGCAACAAAATTTTATTTTTATTTATCACTCGTACAATCAGAGATCGTAAATTCTTCTGATATGAAGTTTTTAGAGTTTGAGGAATTATTTCTCTAGAGGATACATTACTCAACATAACTTTATAATTATATTTACTCAATTAATTAATTGCTGACAACCGCATTAATGTATTTTTCATTCCATTTCGGTTGGAGGAGGTTCGACCAAAGGTCATCATTCTTAACTGTCTGAACAGTCGTGAATTTTCCACTTAAAATGAACGCATTGTGACACACAATAGTGGCGTATGTCTTTCATTCAATCGGCAATGCTTATAATTCGCTTTCTACGGAAGTGCACGTGGCAACAGTTGTATACTATGAACCAGCGGAGTATTGAATTCACGTTTCCAGGCTGAGTATACATATAAATGTTCAGGTATTACGAGAACTCTTACATCTTTAGGTGGAGGTTGTATTACATCGGTTATACGTAATAACGGTCTATGATTCAATACGGCGTATCACAGCTGCTTGCACTCAAGGATCATTTGTTGGAGGGCTATAAATGTATTCGCTGGGGTTTTATGGGCGTCTGTATGGCGGATTTCCCAATCATTTTGGGAACATTCTGCGAGGTATTTATTTTGTTTGATAGGATTATTTATGGGCTATTGGAAGGCGATGGTCATTTAGAAGTGAGGGTTTGAAAATGTTAGACATTTATTTTATTATTTTGATTAATAATTGAAAAATCATGAGTTAACGCCCACATTTTATGGTCAATTGGCTCCAATTTTTCGACTTTTCATCATTTCTTCAAATTGAAAATAACAAGTTCTGGTTTTTCTTATTTTTCAATTAAAAACTCCACGAAAAACTGCACTTTTAGACACTATTTTGTTATAATTTATGATAAATAATTGCAAAGTTATCTGTTGCCATTCATTTCAATTTTTAATTATTAAAATATATCAAAAATAATTATATAGATTTAGTTGATTAATATAATTATTCAAATAAATTTGATGCATATCAACATTAATATTCCATTAGTTTTTAAATAAACAAAATTCATGCTACAATCGAATCGCTGAAGAGTATTTGAAACGTCTTTGTCGTTCAAATTTTACTGACCCGAATGGTCTTTACAAATTCCGCAAAAAACTGGATATTACCTCATTGCGAAGGCCACCTGTTCAATATTATGTCCTCCTGGCTTCTCACGATTTTTTTCAGTCTCATTTAAATATTAAATGTCCTCCACATTTCATTATTTCAATAATGAAAGGTTAAATATCGCAATGTGGATATTGTCTTGCATGATACGAGGAAAAATGCGCTGACTTTGGGAGTTGAAAATTGGTTGGGCAGTGTAAGATTCACCTTCGCAAAGACGTGAGAATTTATTGAGCGAGAGGTGCGCGAAGGATGCAGGCTCGTCGTAGTAAAAATATGACGGAGAATTTTTTTATTGAGCGATCGTGAGAATCCAGATTTCGGCGGGGGATTTTTGCATTTCGTTGGCTGACTCAACTGCCACATGTGCACATTCTGGGATTTTCCAAGGATCCTTTTCGGCATTTGTGCCTCATCAGACAAGTTTTTGCCGGCGGTCCAGATGAATAGTTTTTTTTTTCGAAGCAAAAAATGATGAAATATTTCTTCCTGTATCGTCATCGAAGAATTTTGCAGTTCTTCGTGTCTATTTTGGGCAGCTTTTGACCCTCGAAATATCAATTCCGGGAAGATGCCATCCTTGAAACCGAGAGTGAAGTATCCTGACCTTCTGCAGGCTCGTTGACAACCTGTGACGCGTCCTTGACGAATGAATATTTCGGTTGCTATTCAAAAATCACACGTTCGACGACCCTCACGGACTTTTTAAGGATATTACAGCATTACCTTGGAACTTCTCTTGGACTGATGACAGCAGACGAATGGAATAAATGACTTACTGATGGGTGACGACGAGAGAAAAGATTACATGTAGAAACGATTATTCAATATCGCTCAGGAAATTATCCTCGTCACAATCATTTCTAACAAGCCAGCGTTATGAATGATGGTGAATTGATAGTTCATGGACAGTGGATTATTAAATTTCTGACGAGTGACGTTGAATTCGATTTAGGAGGAAAAAATTTGAAATTTTAGATTTCATTGAAAATTGAAGTGAATTATGAATTTTTTACTTGAATTTAAAAAAAAGATGAATATTCAGCATTCAATTAATTAATTGTCTTGGAATAATTGAACTGAAATTTACACTGATTTTTCCATGAAATTTTGAATTTTCAATAACGAAATTCCTTGAAATTTCGGTAAAAAAATGTTTTAAAAATTTCCAAGGAATGTTTTGGAAATTTCCGCCAAATTTTAATTATTTTGTTTAATCTTAACAATTGATATAGATATGCGAGTTCAATTCCCACTTGGACATCTTTAAATCCCGTTCGGAATTCATATCCTTTGAAAACTGATTTTATTGCTGGAGCTACACCACATAATTACCGGGCAGCAAATAAATAGAGGGGAAAACTCGTAAAACGATGATTTAACATTGCTAATGGAACTATCCTCGTAACAATAATTTCCAACTACTCTCCGGCATCATTTTCGACTCAACAAACAATTACTTGACAAATCCGTTATGCTCGGTGAATGCATCGGTAGCCGAGAAAGCTGACCTTCCTCAAGGTCGTGAAGTACCTGTCCGCTGACAGTCGCATGGGCGTCTAGTGGTGAATTAAATACCCTAACGACACCATAAATTAATATCCAAAAGACTTTCTTTCGAAAACTGTTTTGACGGCGCCTTCACACCGCTGAATTTTCTTTTATTTGAGCGACAATTACGTGTAAATAAATAAAGATTTAAGGACAATAGTGTATCCCATTCACATTTAGTGCACTTCATATTATTTTGTTAAATTGAATTACATTTCTCCATTAATCAATTGTCTTAGCCTTCTTGTGAAAATTCTTGCATAAATTAAATGAAAAGCTTGGAGCATAACGGGTTAATATAACCCAGAAAATCGAAAACTGTAATTTAAACGATTATAAAGCTTCCACTCGGAGTCGAAAAAAAATTCTTCTTCATATGGACATGAAAGCAAAAATAACTGTTGACAATTTTCAATTTTTTTATTGAAATTTCAAGAGCAGTGATTTAATTCTAGCAGTGCCCTCAGTTCAATTTTCTGCTCAACTAAAGTGGAAAGATTAGACTGAAAACTAGTAGCCTACCCCGAGGATTTATCAAGAACTCCACTTTCTCGATCGCAATCTTCACTGGCATTATAACATTCACTTAACTTTGTAATGACTTCTTGCGCCGAGACACACTAAATAAGTTTTTGATTATAGCACTAACAAGATTGTTAGATTATCATTAAGTTCATTGAATAAGACATTACACGCGATAATTTAATGCCCTGGTAAAGTTCAAGGTAATCACGGCAAAATACTTCCTCCTTATTTTCATCAGCGGTACCGTGAAGTTTCGTCAATACTATGAATTGTGAGATATTGATGAATGGAGAACGCGATTCGTCGTTGCGTATGAATTATTCCTATTGTGACATTGATTGTCCATCGAAAATGCTTTTCATCGAGTCGTTAAAACGCTGTCGTTTTCACAATTATCGATATGAAAAGAGTTTCGCCAGTTGCGAAAATATAATAATATGTAATTCAATTCATGTTCTCTGTTTAATTGTAGGGAGGACATGGAGAAGGTGAACATCGTTTTCCACAACAATGGAACGGTCTCTTATCAGCATAAAAAAATATTAAATTTCGTCCCGGAACTGTCTAAAGATGGGGATCTACGGGTTTTAGTGCCAAACATACCGCTTTTGGTGAGCTTGCAATGCACCACAGGGGAAAAAGAATTTTGATTTGTCGGGACATGATTTTCAGAAATCCATCACTAATTATGGGTGGGAATCCATTTGCGCAGCGGTAAAACGGTTCAAGTCGACTCTCAACTGAGTTTCCGAGGAATATCTCCGAATCTAAGGGAGATAGTGAAATTTTTGTAATAAACTTTTTTGGAGAGCCAATTAAGGGCTACAAAAAATGTTATTACAAAAATTCTGCTAGCTCCATTAGATTCCGAGATATTCATTGAAAAGCAATAATCTAAATCGACCTCAACCGTTTTACCGCTTTGCTGTCATTCTAATTAAAGATGAGCCGGAAAATTAGTGAAGTTCTTCAAAATCAGCTGCATGTCCCTGAAAATCAATATTTTTTCTCTTGACTTTTATTACGGAATTTCATTATGTCACGAATTATTCATTATGACCTCGTTTCCACAGACATTGACAACGCAGAGCAGAAGTTTGCATTCTGTCATAAATATGGGTTTATCGATGTTCATAAGTGGGATGAATCAAAAGCCTTTTGTTCCGGTGACAGCGCAAGAGTTGGTCTTCGGTTATGATGACCCTTTAGTCACTCTGGCGCACAGGTTCTTCCCGAAGGCGCGGCGGCCGATGAGTCAGATGGGTCTTCTACTTGGGGTGAGTTTCGAGCGCGTATTGAGGCAGACAAAAAGATTAAAGCGAATTTACAGTGTATTTCTTGCGTTCAGGTGAACGTTGAATAAATAATTAGTAGATCGGATCGAAATGCACTGGTTTAAGTCATTTTTTTTGCCTAACTGATGATAAAATGCCCGTTTATGTTTATTTATTTTGAATTATATTGATTATTTCCCCCATCACCCTTCCGAACAATAGAATTGCGGAATTCGACGTCCCGTGGTCCAATCAGAACAGAATAATATCGAAAATTTATTAGAGTTCTAGCAGTAATTCAATTTTTTTCGTTGATTTCTATTGAGAATTATGCAATTCTGCCAAGCGTTTTTCAAATTGATGAAAATTTAATAGGAAAAAGTAAATACGTGTTGATGTTTCAAGAGAATTTATTCTTCTACAGTTGTTCAAATAAGATTTTTATAAAGTAGTCAGAACCCTTTGATTTCTTAGGATAAAAAAACGTAATATTAAATGTTATAATAATTCTGTTACTTCCACATTTCAACATTCTTCTCCGTCAAAAAAAAATGTAAATGCTCAATTACATGAAAAAAAAGCCTAATTATGTTAACAGATGGAAAAAACAGATTGATTACAGTGAAGTTCATATTTTTATTATTTCTGATACACAGAGAAATGGTACTCTCAATGAAGTATCAACAATTTTCACTGGACACACAGATATGAAGGAGTTTGGCTTGATAAATCGTTTGAATGGGCTCGATCGACTTCCGTTTTGGTCTGACGAACCGTGCAATTCAATCAGTGCGTCAGAAGGTGAATAATTGATTAAATCATGTGAAAATTGCTCGGTTCGCCTCATTCTCAATTCGGTTTTTGTCATTACGTTTGCTTAGGCTCCTTCTTCCCCCCTCGAGACAGCACCGGAGAGGACATAGTTCACGTCTACGATAAAGACCTCTGTCGCGTCCTACCGATGCAGTACAGAGGGCCAGTGGAAAAGGCCGGCATAAGCGCTGATCTCTACACACCCACTGACGACGTATTCGACCCGCCAAGTGCTAAAACACCAGACAACGAGTGTTTCTGTCCTGACGATCCCAAGAGCTGCCCGCCAAAGGGCCTGCAGGACATAAGCCCATGCCAATACAGTATGTTTATGAATGACTCGTATTTACTCTTCTCATGTCGACTAATCAGCATTCATTGAGAATCCGGTTGACTGGAAAAATTGTAATTTTTCAGGCGCACCTGTGTATTTGTCATTTCCACATTTCTACAAAGCAGATCCTCAATTGTTGGATGCTGTGGAGGGACTGAAACCGGTGCCGGAGCTGCATGAAACTTATTTTAAAATTCAACCGGTTAGTAATGTTTTACGCGGAGAGAAATCTTTTAGAAAAATTCTACACTGTTTGACATTTCTTGAAATTTCAGTCGGGATGTTAGCTGAATTTTCAATGTTGTGAGGTTGAATTCAATTTCAAGTGAAAACGTTCACTAAATTTCACATTCATCTTGAAAATTCAAGAAAATTGGGTTTTCATGGCAAACGATCATTGATTTTTCAATGAAATCTTGAATTTTCAAACTCATCGGGAAAATTGAACATCACATATAATTCAATTTTCAATGGATTAAAAATTCAGAGAAGTTATTGCCTGAATTTTCAACATTTCCAGGGTTTTTCGGTGCCGTGTGGATCTGAAAATCGAGAATTACTTGAATATTCAAGAAATTAACTGTAATTTCATGTAATTTTGTCGTTGTTAAAAATTTCAATCTTTTTCCCTTGAAATTTCAAAAGTTATTTTATAATAGTGTAGTCCTAGTGTGAGTGTTAATTTGTTTTCTTATTCTCATTACCGGAAAAACTCGTGACAAAATGAATTGTATTGTAAATAATTTGTACAAGTTAACTCGAATCACAAAATTGTGTAATTTTTTATGAAAATCGTGGAAAACAGATACATTTACAGTAGAAATTGGATTCGGTTCGATAAATATTATTTTTATTTCCTCCAACAAAAATATAAAGAAATAAAAGATAATGCAAGTAAATGGTGATCACGATTAGAATTCCAATTAAAAGCTAGTAGAATTCTTTCTGGAATGATTCTTTCAATTTTTTTCTCATAAATATAATTTTTTAATTTATTGAATTGTTTCTCCAGAAACTTGGGGTACCCGTAGAAGGCAAAGTGCGTGTCCAACTGAACCTCAAGGTGGAGAACCAGCCGGCCATCAAGGCGGTTGCCAACTTCCCCGATATAGTATTCCCAATAATGTGGCTTGAGGAGGGCATAGACGAATTGACCCCCTCGATAAGACGATGGGTGTACCTCTCGACGACATTCGCCGATGCTGCTGTGCCTTGCATAACGTACGGCCTCATTCTAGTCGGTATCGTTGTCATAACAACGGTACTTGTTAAAACATACACCAATGTTATGCCGGCACACGAAGCAATTGAACTTGGAAAGAGAACCATAAGACGAGGCTCCACATTCATTGTTAACGGGCAGAATCGTGTAATGGTGGTCAAGGAGTCGTACATTCTCCTCAATCACAACGCCGAGGATGCTGTGCCAATGATCGACGCGTGATCATCGCGAGTAGAATAATCCTTTTATTTCAAATTTTTTTACTTCACGCACGAAAAATTTTCATAGAACAGTCTAGCGAATTCGATGGAAAACTCTATTTTTTATAGAAAATTTCCAATAAAAAGTATTTCGAAAAGTATTTTATAGAAAAAATCAGCAGAATCTCGTCTTTCTATACAACTTTTTCTACTGAGACATTTTCTAGCGGAATTCCTCGGCATAAATTTTCCAACATTTTCCCACTCTATTTTTCTAGTTCTTTCAAGTAAAAAAATCAAGCGAAAAAACTTGGAAAATTGATCGAGGAATTTCTATAGACAATATCTCAGTAGAATAACTTTTATGGAAAAATCACTCACGAAAAAATTTCATAGAAAAACGTAGTGAATTCGACAGAAAATTTTATTCGATTTTTATTGACGTGTCGAGTATTTTCTGGCCGATTCTATTCAAGACTTCCGATGCTCTACCGCGCGTTTTTTTTCAATGGAAAGTACTTTATAGTAAAAATCTGTTGAATTTCGCCTTTCTGTTCAACTTTGTCTAATGAGACATTCTCTATTCGCGAAGTTTACAAGATGCTGACAAAATTTTCTAATTGAAAATTTCAGTCACCCTTTCAGGTCCTAAGCGGATCAATGGAGTAAAAACCCATTTATTATTAATGCACATTATTAACCGAATCAGAGACCAGCCTCAATTATTCGTATCAATGCGAAGCTTCCCCTAATACCACATTTGTTGATTTCATTCAAACCATTTTACATCGGCCATGTTGAAGCATCAGCGCCGCCTCGCGCCCACTTAACATCGCGAAGGGGAATTCCCCGAACTAAATCTTCCAATTTTCTCCACTCAAACAAAAAAACTTAGGAAATTTGATCGAGGAATTTCTACCGAAAAATTCACAACAGAATCGGCCAAAAACGAATTAATAGCGAATTCGCCAGGTTTTCCTATGAAACTTAAAATAATTTAAATTAAATTAAAAATAAGTTCGATGGAGTCGAACGATTGAAAATCGAAGTTGATGCTCAACGTTATCTTACTTAGATAGGTAAAACTACTGATAATCTCACATACTCGTTGAATTAGTCGATAACAATAGCATAATATTGACAATACCTGTGAAGAATAGAACTTCGTGAAAATTACGGGTGAGACGTGTGCAAAAGTAAAACGACGAGAGCTCTCTTGGCCGGCCTTTCATACTCTACCTCTACAATTCTGTGAGCCCAATGTTTACAAGAATTGCATTAAAAAAATTATAATAGAAGCAGCAGAATGATGAATGGACATAACATACCATCAGCGCTTACCTGAACCCGTTAATTCTAGGTATTAGCATTCAGGTAATTGATTAGGTTTAACAAATTTATGATAATTTATTTGAAACAACGATTGCCAGTCCGTAAAGGGGACTTTAGCCGCTGGGATTGGAGAGAAAAGTAACGAAATGTTGAAATTAATGTTGTGCGATAACTCAGGGGAAAGGGATCCGGACCATAAAAGCAGATGGCTGTGCTATGTCGCATTGAATAAAATTGTCTGAGGTGATTCATTACGATGGAATAACTGAAATTATCATAATTCACTTGATATTTACGGGAGAAATGACGAAATAGGATAATTATTTTCAATTGAACTGAACCGCAGGCTCCATCGTGATGAGTTTATTCAAGTGGTCTTTATCCATGACTAGATGTGCCCCGAGTGCTACTCTTAGATAATCGAGTCTATTTAATTATGTATTATAAACTAGTTGATTGGTGTGCAGACGAGTGACGTTTGTTACATTTTACTTGTTTTAAGAGTTCAAGTGAACGCAAATGCCTTGAGAAATGCCTTTGACGAGGACCAAAAACAATCAGGATTGTTCATGTTAATTTATTCCGAAGTTGTTCGTGAGAGACAGGGAACGACGATCGCACGATTTTTACCACTGCCATCACTCACTGCGTGATCGAAGGCAGTAATTATACAAAATTTATGCATATGTAATTCATGTTAACTATCATCATTGCCATGAATTATTAAATTATTGATGGACATCGAATTGTGAATCAATTCAGCGTCATTATCGTGGAGTGAAAATTGCGGTTCAACTAACGCCTCATTGATTTGTAATACCAAACTGCGATTGTTCCACAGGAATGTGATCTATCCGGTTTTAATTTAGATATTGTAATTTCGTATTAGTGGATAAGTTTGACAGAATAAAATGTCAGTTTTTTTTATCGTCGAGAGGATCATGTTTGTGATGCTTTGATGGAGCGAGAATAAATTATGAAATTGCTCAATTTTAATGAGTTTGGTTGTTATTTGATTCCTTATTCAATTATACGGTGCATGCGCGTGGAATTCGCTGGGGAAAGCCAATGCATTTCTGTTTGAAAAATTCAATGTGCAAAAATTCATTCGCGCAAAAGTATCTTACAGAATAAATAGATTTAGATTTTCCGACGTTTTCTCTTTCACGAAAGCGCTAGGTTTTTCTGTGAAGTTTTCCGCACATGAAGTTCATCAAAAATTTGAAACAAATGATCATCAAGACATGGGGCTCGTGCATCCGCTTGTGAAAAATAATTCCGACTGTTCATTCACATTGAAATTTCAAAGGCGAACGCGATGCATCTGTCCGTAATTATTGATCCCCCGAACTACCCCGGACATGCGCATTATATCGCGGTTCAATGTAGCTCAACAACTTGTTCACAGCAATGCTGCACAACGTACTCCGCGTTATCATTGAGTTCATAATAATATTCAATTGTGTAAAAAGTGAAAATGTATTCAAGCAAAATGATAAATTACCACCTGGTGGTTTACAAATGTGCATCGAGAGTTTCGATGTACACAAGGATAAAATTATTAGAACGCAGGATTCCTTGGCTCTTGGTGCCAAGTATATCATGGAGGCCGAAGTTGATGATAGGCAGAATTGCTTGAGACTTTGCTGTCAAACTAATGATTGCGATGTATTTATCTTCGAGGAAAAAGTAAGTGATAAAAACTCAATTAACATAATGGGACAAGTGGTAACTGGGTGATAAACTGCCGAGATTTATAATCCTCGAGGAATATTCATGGTGCATGGTTAACGATAAAAACTTTTCCGATAATTTCATCGGGGAGAAATATCTGGAGGGAATACATTATTGGAAATCTCGGTATTGGGATTTCGGTGGTGGAATGAAGTTCCTAATTCACGATGTGCATAGAATCACGAGGTGATTGCATGCAGAATTCCGAAATTTTAGAGCTGAAAGTGTTTTTAAAAATTTCAAAAACGCTTTTGTAATCTTTTCGTTGAGCAATATTTCCATAGAAATTTCTTCGTTGATTGTTTTTTATGTTGAAAATGTCTGAAAGCATTTTTATGGAACAAGTCCGTGGAGAATTACCATGTGCACTCGTAATTCTCTTGAATTTCGGTCAGAAGTTCAATTCGTATTTTTAAGTCAACAAATTTTTAAAATTTTACGTGACTTATTTATTTTTACAGTCTCGCTATTGAAAATACTTGGGGCTAATGTTTCTAAATATTTTCCGCTGCATTTTTCAACTTCAAGAAAAAAAACAATGCCTCAGAATTCTTCTTTAGAATAGAAAAAATCGCAAAAGACTATTCTCTAGAGGAAAATTCACGTCTATCAATTTTTTCCATCAAAAAATCATGTTTACAGTTTTCCATCCAGTGGAATTTTCTAGTGAATGCGTCAAGTTTCTCTTTAATGTTTCCACACGTATAACACACCAATTGATATGTGACGACCAATTTATTGAGAATTTCTCTATAAAAAAATCTTAACCATAACTTTTCTAAACATTTCTTCTACATTTTTTTTCATTACAAAAATCAAGAAAAAAAAATCGGTGCCCAAGAATTCTCACTCCTATTTGCACAGAAAAATTTCCACCCGTTGACTTTTTCCATGCAAAAATCACCGGAAAAAAATCTTCAACAGACTTCAAAAGCGGTAATTGCCCTGCAAAATTTCAGAAACGCGGAAGCTGCTACCTGTTCCACTGTGGGCCTCCGCACGACTTCAAATGCAAGTTCACAAGTCACTCGAATTACACAAGCGCAGTGTTAACAAATCTCAGCTACAGAAATCCCCCGTACATGGAGCAGGCGGGTAGATCTCAGCAGGAGCACGAACTGAAGTCGCTGAGGAAGCTGTCGATTCCGCAAGTACCCGCGGAGTACATCTACACAGTTGCCCCCGTCGTCATCACAGAAACCCCGAAACCGGTGGTTCTGACAACCCCACCCCCAGTGAAAACTCGCTGCAGTAGAAACCAATACGAATGTCGGACATCGGGCGATTGCATCGCTATCTACAACGTCTGCGACGGGATACCCCAGTGCCCGGACGGCTCGGACGAAGCCGCCGAGTTGGGGTGCCCCCCGGAGAAACCGACCCCTCCGCCGCCGGTTATTCCGCCGATGCTGCCGCCCCCGCCGGAGCTTGCGAAGTATCCGGAGGGCGTTCAGCATCGGAAGAATCTGCAGACGTTTTACGAAGGGCCTGAGGGAGGGCCCAAGCCCTGGCAATTGCCGATGGGGCGTCAGGTTGTGCCTCAGCAGGGACCACCCTACCCCCTTCATGGGGGCCCTGGGCCTCAGAGGAATTACGGGGGACAGGGGTACATCGGAGGATGGGAGTACAGGCAGATTTATGACCAGAATAAGGATAATTACCCTGCTAATAATATTCGGGAGAAAGGGGATGTCGCTCATTTCGATCGCGAACGTAAGTTTGCAAATAATTGAAATAGTGTACGGAGAGAAATTCGCTAGAAAAATTCTGGGGCTGGTACTGGAGAGAATCCCAATGTGTCGGTTACACGGAGAGAAAAATTCAATAAAAATTACCAGAAAAACGTAAAAATTACGTTTCGAAAGTCGGAAGTTAAATTGTACGAATTGCCACGTAAATTCTACGATTTGTTCCGTAAAAATTAACCACCCGTCTGTGGGGACAAGTCGTTCCGTGATTTTTCCCCAACGATTGAGAAATTTTACGGAACGGAACGTAGAAATAACGCAGCGGCTTCATAAAAATTGTTGAACGTTCACGAATTCTTAAAAATTCATAAAACTTGGAAAATTTGAGCGGTGGAAATTCTATAGAAAATATCTCAATAGAATTGGCGAAAAACTAATAGAAAGTTCAATGGAAATCCTGTAGAATTGTCTAGCGAATTCGCTAGATTTTTCTCCGAAATTTTTTCATACGTAAAAATTATTCCGCAGAGCAACCACATATCTTCAACCACAAACGGCCGGGTATGCTTCCAGAGAACGCTGAAGGGTGAGTTTACCATTAAATAAAGAAAAAGAGATAGCTAAATGTTCATAAATCCCTTTTGAGAGGAATTCACTCACCTTCTTAGCGACTTCGCTAACGAATTCATTACTTCGACGAATTAAAAACCTACTAATCAGAAATTGTGGATTTCGACAGAACCGGGTACGTCGAACCGGAGAGGCCCTACGAGTCGTACTACCCAGCGCAGAGCCACGCAGGGTGGCAGCAAGTGCCGCCCCAAATGATCCCCATTGAGCCAAAACCCCAGATAGTGCCAACTCCACCGCCACCAGTTATAAAACCAGAGCATCCAGTTCCACAGGAGCAGGTGAACAGCGCGCCTGAACCTCCCCCCACCCTTCCAGTAAATTATTCAAAATTATTTTCATTTATCACTGAGAAAATAAAATTAAAATTGAAAAAATTAAAAAAATTATATTAATAATAATATAATTGATAATATTATTATTATATTATTATTAATATTATTTTTGATATTAATATAATAATAATAATATTTTATAATTATTAAAATTGAAAAATAAAAATTCAAAATTATTTTCATTCATCCCCGAGAAAAGTCCCGCGATAAATCTCAAATGATGTTTCAGCCTCTTCCAAAACTGAATACTCCGACAAAATTGAATCCGAGTATAAAGAAAGAGTTGGAGACTCAGAAGAGCGTTCACCCTTCGCTTCCCAAGAAGGTCGAGCCCGAAGTGGCCGTTGAGAGGCAACAGGCTGTGAAGAAAGACGTTGAGCCAGTGAAAGAAGATATTTCACACTCAAAGCAGGAGGAGCGTCACACAGAGGAAACGAGAGTGCATCACTTTGTGGCTGAGCATCTCAAACAGAGTAATCACAGGGACAGTGAGGAAGTGCTTAGACCAAGGGGTGCAGTTATATCACTAGCACTTGGACTAACTGTCACTGCGATAATGGCTGCACTGATTGGGTGCAGACTGAGGGTTGTGAGAAAACGTGGACGACGAGGGCATGGCCCCTACGCTCACGATGCTGATTATCTTGTCAATGGAATGTATCTTTGAATAAAAAAGTCATTACATTTTGGGGACAGCGCATTTCTATTTTATCTCTCACTGCGGCATTTGAAATCAAATCGTTGAAGGATTTTAGTAATTTATATATGATTTTTTGTCATTCTAATTGGACGGAGAATGAAGAATATCGCGGATGGAGGAATTCAATGGGAAGTCTAACGCATTCGCTAGATTTTAGTGAAATTCTGTTATTGGAATAAATATGCAATTTTGCAGTGCGATTTTTTCAACACGTTTCATAGAAAAAAGTCAGTAGGTGTGAATTTTATAGACAAATTACTCATCCTGTGGAGATTTCTTTTAATAAGAGAATTCTCGGGCAAAAATTTTCCAAGTTATTCATTGAAATTGAGAGTGAGGAATGAAAAATTTAATGGAAAGAATTTCTAAAGAAGAAATCTGAAGAGAATGAGTCATTTAGAAATATCGAAACCTATGGACTTTATTCTGTGAAAAACCCAGCAAAAAATTAATCAAATTTCAATGAAATTCAGTGTAATTCTATTGAATTTACTAATACGTCATCAAATCAAATTATTTTTCGAAAGAAAAAAACTTCCAGACCCTCAATTATCGTTGTTATTCTCCCTAATTCTCGCAACAAAGAAAGAATCCCCAGAAGTACAAAAAAAATCAACAGCTCCATGTATTTCATCAACGTATACAATCAGAATTCTCATGTATAATTTATTGTGCAAATTATGATAAAGCAGAAAGCTCATGCAGATTCGTGAATTCAATCGAAGCTATTCGACCATTGAAAACCATCAAGTGAATGAGCAAGAGAGAAGAGAACTCGTTAAGAAAAAAAAAAAACAACAAAAACATATGCATTATGAGTAAGTTACACGGTTTTGTTTTTTCTTCTATTTTTAAATACAATATATTACAGTGAAACACACAGTTATAATTTATTGTTATTAATTATTATTCCTAAGTAATGTTTTTTTGTCGTATTTTTCTCCATTTTTTCATTAATAATTACCTTACGAATTATTATTATCAATTAATCATTGTAATTACCATAACGCTGGACCTCAGTATAATGCGAGGGGCAGCACAAAAATGGTGTAATGGGAGACTAATAGCGTTTGTATATATTTTGTATTCTTTTTTGTTCTCTCCTTCCATCGTTTTATTGGAACAGCATTGTTTCTCTCATCAGTTAATTTTCATCTTTCATTGAGAATTTATTCAATCGTAATTCCTCATGTTTTTTTTAATTTAATCCCCAGTAGCTGTGCAACAGTAACTGTGATACTCGGTAATAAATAATTAACATAAGGATAAATATTATGCTACTGCGGCAGTGTGCTCCCCTGGACTCCTCAATGCTCCTCAGGAGGGTTGACGCCTTCATAATATTTTCACTTTACCTTTCCTCAATTTTATATCTGTTGTATACCACTTTAAAGATTTTCATGGATGATCTAATCAATGAAAGGGGAATGGGGGGGGGGAGGGGAGGTTTCATCACTATAATAGATAATATACTACAGTGTCGATCAGCTGTTTCCCTCTGCCGACAGATTAATACGTCTACTTAGTGACGATTATATCAACAAATAGTATTTGCACTTGAATGAAAATTCATTCGATTTATCATCATTCTGTAATAATACAAGATAATGATCTTTAAATTCTCCTTAATGTTTCATTAAAATTCTTTTACCTGCCTTTTTCATTCGTCTCACTATAATAATATGAGTATTTGAATATGCTGCTTTGTCTGACCATACTTAAATACAATTACGTTTCTTCCACTTGTGTTTTTTTCTTTCTTTTTATTTAATTCGCATCTTCTTCTCAACTATGTGTTAATGATGAGATGAGGGAAAATGGAATTGATGAAATCATTCTAAAGAGAAGGTTCCTGGAAGTGTATAGTACATACAAGTAAAACTATCTAAAAAATGATGAAAAATAATAATGAACATGAGTACAAAAACCGCTTCACATGGTCTGTTTTTTTTCTATTAAAAGTGTCATATGCGACAGCTTGTAATTTTTTATAAATCTGGTGAATTCGTGACGTTCCTTCGGCTTCGTTATCTCAATTTATATCACTCACACGAATACCTTGGCAAGCGCGTCAGCCCCAGCACTGGCGATGAAGGGTAACGAGGGATGGAACGCAACGTCAAGGATACTCTCGTCGAATTTCTTGCGGTGTGCCGTTATTTCTTGTACGCAAGTTTTGTTGTCCATATTCCATAATCTTATACTGCAGTCGTGACCTTGAGCATTGATGAGAATGATAAAATGGAGATTAGAGAAAGGAATGGCATTGTAATTCCTACGTGAAAATTTAGAAAATGGAAAGAGAGAGTTGATTCTGATGACCATTTGGCCTCTGGGGTGCAGTTGATGAGACGCATTGTCAGAAATAAATTGAAATTTCAGGGTCAGGTGACGAGTCATTTTTACGAGATTGACATTGAATTGAATTTAGGGGGAAAAATTCAATGAACTTCCAAATTAGTTGAATTTGCAATCAAAGCATTGATATTCAGTCCAAAATTTCGCTGAATTTTTAATTGATTGAAAATTCTAGAATTTATTTCCCTGAATTTTTCTAAATTATATTTATTCTCATAAAATAATTTCATGAATTTCATGAATTGAACTGAAATTTACAGCTTTCATTGATTTATCCGCAAAATTTTGGAAGTTTCAATGATGAAATTCCTTGAAATTTCAGTGGAAACTGATGTAATAAAAATGTTCAAAAATTTTACCAGAAATTTTAGCCAAAAATGTTTAACAGTTAAATGAAATACAATCAACCTGAACACTCACTGCCTGAGAGCAGATAAAGACCGTGGGGATCAACAGCGAGACTAGTTACGGCGTCCAAGTGTGCCACCATGGCGTGAGCCAGAGTCGCCGAACGGTGATCGTAAAATCTTATGTGACGATCCTCGTGCGCTGCTATTATCAGAGGCTGAATCGGATGAGCTACGACACGATTAACACCTCGGGTTCCACTACCCTCGAGTCTCGCTACTACTGAGCCAGTCTCAGCGTCGAACACGACGCAAGCTCCGTCGTAAGCGACCACTATCTTGTGGGGCTCGTCTCTGATGAAGTCGACTGAGGTGGGTGTTCCATCTGCAAAAAAAAAATTTAATCATTACTCAACTCCAATTTGTCAAGTCTAGAATTTTTCATTATTCTTTTCTTATTTCAAAGGAGAACAATAATAATAGTTAACAAATGAAGAATTAAACTTGATCAGACGACGTACTATACTATATTTTAATGATTGACTTTTTATATCCTTGAATCAAGAATTCTTGAAGTCTAAAATTTTTAATAATTTCTTTCTTATTTAAAAAATATTTAGACGTAGGCAATTGATAATTTCTCTACTCTAGTCCTTGAATTAATGATTTTTCTATTCTCTATATTAACGATGAAGAATAATACTAATAGTTATCAAATGAAGAATTTTGAGAAGCCTCAGAGGAATGATTAAAAATCTAGAATTTTAAATCGTTCTTGTGAGGCTTCTCCCAGAAAAAAAAATTAAATAAATGTTAATTACCTTGTTCAGAAGCGTATGTATTGAGCAGTGGAACTTTGCTCTGTGGATTCCACAATTTAACAGTCCCGTCAGCGCTAGCTGACAACAATTGTGACCTTGGATGGAACATACTGAGTCCCCATACAGCATCGGTATGTCCAGTCAACGATTGACTGAGTACACCAGGCTCATACGAATCATACGGATCGATATTACCAGCTGGCACTGACCAGCAGTGTATCATACCGTCAAGACCACCTGAGTAACAACGGCTGCCAGTGCTGCACATTCCTAAACACAAAACTGGCCCTGTGTGGGATCTGAATGTATAGAGAGGCTCAACGTCCAGGGACGCTGATTTTTTCGCTGGCACTGTCTTCTGCAGATTCCAGAGCTTCAGTGTGTGATCATCCGAGGCTGTTATCAGCACTGGATCCGTTGGATGGAAGACGAGGGCTCTCACACAGTCGAAGTGAGAGCGCAGAGTGTACTTTGCGTTCCACGTCTTTCTATATGTTTCTTTTGTCGCCGCCATCTGTGAATATTCAATTCGAATTCATTTTTGTTTATGTTCACATCAATTTTTTCATAAACTCAATGTCATATTGGTGAATGAGTGAATTTTCCATATCATTTGATTAAGAATTTTAGATCATTTTGTTATTATTTTAAAAACATTGCGATTCTCGAAGTGAGAAACTTTTTATTCTGTATATTTTAATCAATGATAGAGAACAATAATAATAATTATTAAATGAAGAAGTGAAAACTCCTGATAAAACAAAGTGCAATATTTAAAACTCAAGAGTTTCATTCCATTTTATCAGAAAAAGTTTATATTGAAATGGATTACACAATGAAAATGCGTCATATTTACATCGTATGTCACATCAGCATCATTGTTAACAGTTAATTGGGCTAATTCTCCCAGACCCAGGGCCGAGTCACTCTCCTCCCCTGGGCGCTGAGGGTCTCGCTCCACACGCATTGTATCTGTTGGAATAAAAAAATCATTATTCTTGTAGAGATTGTCCTTCAAAAAGTTTTGACAAGAGTCTCTCACCCGTGTATTTGGGAATAGCGTGGGGATGAATAATATGTGAGTCTTCAGTTTCCGTCAGAAGATTCAGTTCGTTCAAAACTTCCGCCGCCTCAGCATCAACATCCTCACCCAGCATTATGGATGCCTGACAATGTCATTACGGTATCAACAAAGTTTTCACAAAGTTTGTTAGAACAAGGAAGTGCCTTCAGAAGATTTCAAAGTAATTGTCGGATGCAGGAACGATTATTTTTATTTCAATTTGTAAATGCAAATGTCATGAGACTTTTTTGGGGGGAATTTAATGGGCCATGCTGTACTGTAATTTATTTCATGTAGAACTCTCAAAATTTTTTTAATAGGAAATAACATTTTTCGATAATTTGTATTCTTTTCTATATTTTCTATATAACTTATTCCATTGAGATGTTCCAATTGTCAAATTT